GCTTCATTTTCACAGGGCTTAGCAGGTGGGAGCTGGGCTGGGGGTTGCATGCATTGCAGGACCTGGTGGGATGTACTTTAGGGACTTCAGCTAGGAAGCAGAATGCTCCTAGCATGGGGCAATGTGAACACATTGGTCCTGCTGGGGATGTAGAGACTGTGGTGTGGGGCAGGGAGCAGGCTTCTCTGGGGATGGGGGAAGCAGGGGGACTACTGTTCCTCCCTCCCCTCTTCCCACTGCTCTTAGAAAAGGGGTTGGAGTCCAGTATTGCTAAGAGCCGAAAATGCCTTTTGGCAAGTCTTTCTATGCTGTCCTTGCTGTTTTGAGGAAGTCAGCATTAAATGTGCCGAGTAAAGGCAGGGAAGGCTCTAGGGCTTGCATGGGACCTGGTTTGAAGTTCTGCTTTTACTGTCTCCTTGACCCTGCTGTGGGCTGTGGTGGGAGGCCATACTTAGGGTCAGGAAAGGGCTTGGACACATCAGGTTGGTTCCCACCACCCTAGCCCTCACAACAGCTTCCCACCAACTTCCTGGGCCTTGGGTCTCTTGATGCACAGGAGGTTGTGCTGATGTTAGCATCCCAGCCTAGGCAGAGCCAAGCTTACCCTGTCCTACAGCCTTGTCAGGGGAAGGAGGGAACAGGAAAGGCACCCTTAACTACATCCAGGAACAGCACAGTCTGTGTGGTCACCGAGGCTCTCCTACCTGCCGTGGCGGCATAGGTGTAAGGAGACACCCAAGGTCCTTCCCCAGAGGTGGGCAGCAGGATCTGAACAGAAAGCTTTGCAAAACCATCTCTGCCTGGGTGGAGGCAGCGCACCAGGTTTGTGTTTTGGGAGGGGGGCACTTGTTGGTGAAGTCTTGGGCATGTATGGCACAGCTTTCCTATTACTGGGTGTTCTGGTTGGGTTACTGGAGAGGCTAGGAACGTTTATCTCCAGAAGAGTAAAACCCAGTGAGCTGTGCTGACTTACAGACCAAGGACAAAGACGAGGAGGAGAGCCCCTGGGTCTGCCCTGCCCTGAGAGCAGTGGTTCCAAGGGCTTCATTTTCACAGGGCTTAGCAGGTGGGAGCTGGGCTGGGGGTTGCATGCATTGCAGGACCTGGTGGGATGTACTTTAGGGACTTCAGCTAGGAAGCAGAATGCTCCTAGCATGGGGCAATGTGAACACATTGGTCCTGCTGGGGATGTAGAGACTGTGGTGTGGGGCAGGGAGCAGGCTTCTCTGGGGATGGGGGAAGCAGGGGGACTACTGTTCCTCCCTCCCCTCTTCCCACTGCTCTTAGAAAAGGGGTTGGAGTCCAGTATTGCTAAGAGCCGAAAATGCCTTTTGGCAAGTCTTTCTATGCTGTCCTTGCTGTTTTGAGGAAGTCAGCATTAAATGTGCCGAGTAAAGGCAGGGAAGGCTCTAGGGCTTGCATGGGACCTGGTTTGAAGTTCTGCTTTTACTGTCTCCTTGACCCTGCTGTGGGCTGTGGTGGGAGGCCATACTTAGGGTCAGGAAAGGGCTTGGACACATCAGGTTGGTTCCCACCACCCTAGCCCTCACAACAGCTTCCCACCAACTTCCTGGGCCTTGGGTCTCTTGATGCACAGGAGGTTGTGCTGATGTTAGCATCCCAGCCTAGGCAGAGCCAAGCTTACCCTGTCCTACAGCCTTGTCAGGGGAAGGAGGGAACAGGAAAGGCACCCTTAACTACATCCAGGAACAGCACAGTCTGTGTGGTCACCGAGGCTCTCCTACCTGCCGTGGCGGCATAGGTGTAAGGAGACACCCAAGGTCCTTCCCCAGAGGTGGGCAGCAGGATCTGAACAGAAAGCTTTGCAAAACCATCTCTGCCTGGGTGGAGGCAGCGCACCAGGTTTGTGTTTTGGGAGGGGGGCACTTGTTGGTGAAGTCTTGGGCATGTATGGCACAGCTTTCCTATTACTGGGTGTTCTGGTTGGGTTACTGGAGAGGCTAGGAACGTTTATCTCCAGTCCGTTCTCTGGGCTTCAGAAAAAAAAAATACATTTCTGGGACCTGTCTCTGTGAAATGTGGCTTAAATTACCAACAGGCTTGCAAAGGTTGTCTTGAACACATAATGGTTTTTATAAATAATGATTATGATAAGGTCGTGGGCAATGTGAGCGTATGAGCCTCATTTCTTTTAGAAAGATGACTGGAAAATGGGGCTGTAAAACATGCAGGAAAGAGGTAAATAATTTGGTCTCTGTGGAGGATAATCATACTTCCCTGATATATTGCAAGTCTTTTAGTAATTGGCTAAAATGATAGGTAATATTTGGCCATCTTGTGTAACTTGCTTAGATGTTCAGAAAAACCTCTGAAATTTCTCACAAAAGACTGTTAAGAAAACTGTCCACTGGAGGAGTTGTAGAGTCCTGGATAAAAAACTAGTTGAGGATCCACAAACAAAGTCTAGGAATGAATGAACAATTTGAGTGTGAGGTCCTTCACTATTAATGACCCAAAAAAAGATAATGTGCAGCAAGGTACCCAAAGTCTGCCGATACCCTGGAGTTGTTCAGATTTGTCAAACTGAAGTGACTCCAAAGTGCCACGGTGTGAAGCGGTGTGAGGCGAGGAGAAAGTGGGTACTGAGAAGCGTGCAGCCCGGTGTATTGGAAGGAATGATTTGTTCCGGGACATGGCTGGCCCCTAAATTTCTGTGGCTACTCAGGGCAGCAGTATTGCAGGCTGGTTACAGAAACGTTTTTTCCTCAATAGGCAAAGATGCCATCGGAGAAATAAATCGTGCTCAGCCGCATGAGGAGTAGCGTGAGGAGAGATGCTGAGAGCATCAGGATGCTGTTCTGGCAGTCAAGGTCGTTTCCCTACCCAGGATATTGTATGTGGTTCTGGTCACCTTTCTGTAGGGTCAAAAGAGAGCGGGCTATATTGGAGGTGTGCGGTGAGAGTGGTTGGAGCCAGAAGACAGCTTGTGTTGTTGGAAGGAGAAAGCACTTAATAATAGTGAGCTTAGTAGGTCTAGAAAAAGCAAAGGCTTTTATTCTTTGCCTTTTCTCACTATGCAAGGAGAACTGAAGTCTGTGAAGTTGCAGTGCAATTGTGGTGTTTTCCTCAATGTCTGGAACTCGTTGCTGCAAGATACCATTTATAAGATTCCCAAGAAGAGGAATGAGAGGTATTTCTCTTTGCAGTGAGTCCATCTAGGCTGACACTTTGGAGGTAAAAACAGAGAGGTGTAGCTGTTCCCACTCCAAAGTGTGTGACCTCCCTTTGGTGACTCTGATCCCATCATTTCTTCCCATCCCGCCCTTGGAGCTTCTGAGTCTCTCATTAATTCAGTCAGGATGAATTATCCTGCCTGGCTTCCCAACTGCTATCTTGTGGCTTGGCTTACTTCTCCTGCTTTTCCAATCTCTTTTTCTGCTTCTGGCAGTCTTGTTCCAGTTCTGTACCTGTGAGTATCTTTTGGTGGCTTTTCCAATTTGGCTGATCCCCCTTATTGCCTGTACCCAGCTGGGCTTTTGCTCATCACAGTGCTCTTTTTCATGGGTGCTTCAGCTGGTTTGCAGTTGTTCATCTGTCCCAGCTGATCCAGGAGGGATCACTGAAGCCGAGCTCTCTAGTACACCACAGTGAACAGTTTAGTAGTCATTATCCAGCCAACAATGTGCTGCGATGCTGATAAATCTCTGCAGCCAGGCAGGAGGATGCCAGGATATACTCCTGAGCTGGAGGGAAGAGCCCTGCACCCTCTCTGCTAATGTCACTATCCAACATGGAGCTAGAAGGGCAGAGCTGGTGGCAAGGGTCATCTCTGGGACAAAACGCTGAAACCAGCACAAGGCAGTGGTGGTAGCTTTCTTGTGCTTTGAGCAAGTGGCGGCTCTTTTGCCCAGCCCACCAGGATGGCATTTATGGGCTTGGGTAAGCAGCCCTTGAGCATTGCCCAGCAGTGATGCTGTGCCAGCCAGCCTTTCTGCTTGGTACGTGGTGGTAATGAAGGATTTGGGGTAGTTTGGTGGGTGCTGGATAAGAGGGGTGCTTCGGGGACCAGCAGCCTTGGTAGATCTTCCCGTCTGTTATTGCTGCTTCTTTCTGCAGCTGATGGGGTTTTCTCTCCCCTGTTCCACAAAGCAGTTGTGTTTCTGCTGTTGATTTGTCATTTCTAGACCATCCTGGTGATGCTTAATTTGCATTTGTCCATTGCTAGCATGGTCTTCTCTATGTTTCCTATGGAGCTGCTCTGCACAGGAGGAAGCTCTTCCCATGTCCAAGCACTGATGCTACAGTGATGCTGACCTGAGCCCAGCTCCAGATCTTGTAACAATTTGAGGACACCACTGAAATAAATAAAATATGTGATCAGCTAGATAGTACAGCCTAAGCCTCTTCTCTGCCCTCTGTGTGCTTGCATCTAAATGCATTCAAGTGAGAGGGAGGAAAGAAAACAAGCTGGGGGTGTAACCAGCCGCTGATGGGTGCCCTGGGAGCTGGGGGCTGAGGCCCACGGTGAGCCGAGGGTGGTGATTCAGCCTAATAAAGCTAATGGCATGCAGCCAGGCAAAGGAAATTGTGGGATCATGATGCAGCAACTGTCCCATAGCAGTTTGTTTCCGTCATCCAGACGTGACTTCATGTCCCCATCACTCCACCCCTTCATTCTTTCCTGTACCTAAATGTTCTCCCTACTGAGGGGAAGGGGCTGAACTCTGTGCTCTCAAGAAGAGGGGTAGTCTGTGAGAAAGAGGTGCACCTAAATAGTGTGAGAGTGGGGAAACAAGGAAGGGAGCTCTAAGAACTGTGCCTGGTGGGACCACAGTTGCTGAAGCACCCAGGCTCTTCCAGCACCCCCCAAACTCAGTAGGCTTCTCCAGATGACCTTGTCCCTGGACACTGCTTCCCAGGGAAATCCTGTAGCACAGAGGAGCCTGAGATAGCAGACAAGGTTGGCCCCTAACTCTAATGGGGCTACAGTGTTGTCCGACTGGCATGTATCTAACCAGGCCTTTCTTTCCTTTCCCCAGGGAAAACGATGAAGCTGTAGAGATGCTTCCCTACGTGATCGCCACCCTGGGCTCAGCAGGGACTACCTGCAAAGCCTCCACATGCAACAACAGCACCAAGGACTACTGCTACAGTGCTCGCATCCGCAGCACTGTGCTGCAGGGGCTGCCCTTCGGTGGGGTGCCCACTGTCCTAGCCCTCGATTTTATGTGCTTTCTCGTAAGTCTACCTACTGCTCCTTCAACACCATCTCCTCTAATTAGTCGTGATGGGAGGACTGTGGTCGTGTAGTTAGAGTTGAGGGCTCCAAATGTTGTCCCAGACTTTGCTCTGGCTTACTTCATGGTCTTGATAGTGTTTGCCTAGCCACTGTTGACTTAACTCCGCTACCACTACACTGAGCCTGTGAATGGTGTTGCAAATTTTCCTCAGGACGTGGGTCAGGTTAGGTCAGTCCCACATCCCAAAACTTCTGCTTATAATACCAAGTCCCTGCAGCTTTATCTACACAAAGACTTTGCTTGTTTCTCTGTAGGAAGTGCAGGACCATGGATGCTGCAGCCATAATCTCAGCTCCTTGGGTCCTGAGGCTCTTTTGATCCTGTGGCTAACTTAGCTACAGTGTGTTGCATCCTGGACTTCTGCCTTCCACAGCCATCCAGATAGACTGATTTTAGCCGTGAGGAGGTTGTGCTGTTGCATGGCCTCAGTGTACTGTTAGCTGAGGAGTCCTGTCCCCTCCTGCGCTCCCTGTTCCTGTGGCTCTGCATGCAGAGGACAAGGATGGAGCTGTACAATGCCTGATCTCATACCTTCTCCTTTGCTGTCTTCCAGGCACTGTTGTTTGTCTTTTCAATTTTGCGTAAAGTTGCTTGGGACTATGGACGCCTGGCCCTGGTGACTGATGCTGACAGGTAAGCTTGGGAGAGGGGCAGGAAAAAAATGTGTGAGTGGTGCCCTTTGCTGCAGGGCAGAAGGGGAAAATTTCTTTGCATATGCTGGAGGCAGCTGGACAGTGGAGGCAAGAATGCCAGTTGTAACCCTTGAGCTCCAGGAACAGGAAAAATCCCCATTTACTGCCTTTTTTGTTACAGCATCCTTCTCCCAACACAGGGAGTGTCCCCACTGGCTCCATATCACTTATGGTTCATACAGTGACAGAGGTGTGCAGGGGCCCTTACAGAGGAACAGCAGATGGAAGGAAGGGAGGAGAGAGGAAAAGGTCACAGGAAGGGTGGGAGCTGCTACAGTGAAGGCTTTGTTTAGCCTCTAAAGGTGTCTTTGAGGCTCTGCTGGATGTACCTCTTGTTAAGAGCACTTGAAAGCAGTAGGCTGTATTTCCAGGTGCTGTACTGCTGAGCTGAAATGCAAGTTTAGCTCGCATCCCAAGTGCTGACCAGTCAGTCTGGGTATGGATTCTTCCTGCCCAATGCATTCATGGGCTACACTGTCTGTTGGCAAATGCTGAGGCCCATTGGGGAGCGCAGCTCCACAGCAGAGTGAGATGCTATTCTCGTTTTTGCTGTCAGCAGCAGGTAGGACAATGATTATTTTCTTCCAGTGCAGAATAAGGAACTCTCATTGATTAAGTTAGAGGGGTTGTGCAGGTAGTCCGTCTCTCTCCAGGGGTAGTTCGCTGTGCCCGTGGCGCTTTGTTGTGTGCTGGTGGCAGTGTGGCTTCTGAAGGCTGGCTACGATAGGTTTTCCTTCTCCTTTATCAGCTCCAGGAGCTCGTGACACCCAAAGGCTTGGATGGGGTCAAGCCCCAGCCTCTTCGGTTACTTTGGTGATACAGATTCTAGCAAGTTACTCTTGAGCACTCCGTGCATGACAACAGAAAGAGTTGTTTTCTTCCAGCACTGGACCAGGAACTCTCCTGGTTTAGATAAGCAGCCCTGGACAGCATTAGATAAGCAGCTGCGGCTCTTATGCTGCTCCTTTCCTGTCCTGGCTGGGGAAATTGGCAACACAGGACCCTTGGGACAAAGTGAGAAGTAGGGAATAGCTGGATGAGACCTCACTGGGGAGAGGGCAGCAGCTCCTGGGTGTTAAGCTATCTGGACCCAAGCACTTGTAGCCACAGGGGTTGGATGGCTCTGACCTTTGGTGGGGAGAGCGGGACGGCCCTTCTCATGGGCGATGCTTGAGCATCTCGAGTGCAAGGGAGTGGGGCAGTGGCTGTAGGCAGAAAGGCAGAGGGGTGCCAGCTGTTTGGCAAAGGAGAGCTGGTAAGCACAGGGAGAGGGACAGCGTGGCAGTGGTAAGGCCATCACCAGGCCTGAGATTCCAGGGAGGAGCCCCTGCTACTTGACCCATCAGTGAGGTGCGATGAGTGTTTCGTGAGAGCAGGATGTGAGTGTGTTGGCTGCCTGGGTGGGGAGGGAATGCATGGAAAGGGAGCTCAGATGGCAGCCTTGGTAGGCTGTCCTGCCTCTCCCTGTCCCTCAGGAGCTCCCTGGGACACCCACGGTGTGCAGCCAGGCCACCTTCACAGCTTCCCTTTAGCTGGCAGCAAGACACTCTGCCCCTGGGCTGGTGGGGGCTCTGGAGTGTTGTGGCTTGGGGCAGTGTTGGGATCTGGAAGGAAGATCTTCCCCAGCCTGACCATCAGCAGGTTTTACTTCCTCAGGACGGTGCAGAACCATGTTGGGTGCGTAGCTCGCTGTGTCGGAGGAGACCCAGCACCTGCTCCCATGGTTGTAACCTCTGCCTTTCTGTTTCTGTGCCCCCAGGCGTCGACACTGGCAGACGGAGCGAGAGGAGCGGGAATAGTATGTTGGTTTTGAGGGTCTTGTTTGTTCTTTTTCTTGCTCGCACTCTCCTTTTCTCTTGCAGTTTTCTGTCTTGCTTTTGAACTAATCTTAAGTGGCTGGGAGTTCGGGCTTGGATTTGTGCCTCTCAGTGGATTCATGCTCTTCTTTTTCCCTCACCTTTGTGTCAGCCACTACCACAGCTGGATGCACTCTGGTTTTCCCTGGTAGCACTTAAATGCTCCCTGAGGGCAGCAGCGCCAAGGAGTTCCCAGTCCCAGCCAAGGTGGAGGGTGCCCCATCACATACCCTGCTCTACCTGCCTGTGTCCAGCTATCCCACCTTATGGTGGAGAAAATGAACCCAGTTGCTTGAGCCCACAGCACACTCAGGTCACCCGGGCACAGGGGAGCCTCCTTTGCCTGGTCCCTCTAGTGCCAGGGTGCCACAGGTGCTGCTCCCACACCAACTGCAAGGGCTGGCAGGTGCATGGAGAGGATCTGGCAGGCGGTTGCAAGACTTCTGTCTTTTTCCTTTACCCTGTAAGGCTGCCAGGACCAGGGCAAGTGTTGGCTCTTTTCCCTTGCCACCTACCTCCGGCTGACAGCATGCCTGGCAAGGCAGCACCTTTGTCCCTTCTCTCTCCTGGCAGAAGCAAGCTTCCTGCCTCAGCACTGCTGAGAGCATCCTCCAGCACCCTGGCCTAGCATTGGCCATTAAGTAGTGCCATGGACCCTTGCTCCCTGCTCTTTCCTCTTTCTTGCTGATTTTATGCCTAAGAAAAGAGCATCCCCCATGCCTTGCTGACTGGTTGGGTGGTGCCTGCTGGAGAGGATACAATCAGCTGGCAGGATGGAGGCTGTGATGGTCATTCCAGCCAGGCTGATGCGTGTCTGAGGCTGGGGGAGCAAGCTGCAGCCTGACTTCTTGTTCTCCGTCACTTGCAAAGCGGGTACCTGTCACTGCTACTGCCTTGAGAGGGTGCAGGAATGCTCCTGTTTTTGTAGTTGCTGCTTGCCCCCAAAGGAGCAGAGCAGTTGGAGCTGTGAAAACAGAGGTGGTGGTAGCTGTGGTACATGGCACAGAGGGGACCCCTCGCTATGCTTGAGTGTTTCACTAGTGGTTCGCCCTGCTTCAGGTGTGTCTGGCAACTTTTCGCTGCTAACACCTTGTAGGGGGAATAGCAGAGCTGTCATGTTTTGAGGCTTCTGAGAGGGGCTGCCTCAGTTATCCTTACAAGTGCTCATCTTTCTCCAAAGGGCGGCTGCTTCCTGCTTCTGTTCTTCATCTGGGCTTGCTGACCTCCACGAAAACCTACTGCTTGAGCTGGGACAGTGTTGGTAGCCAGAAATTTCCAAAAGCCTGTGGAGCTCCACAAGGAAATCTTTTCCTGGCTGTGCTCCTCCAAGGCTGGTGGTACCTTCCCAGCCATTCTCTGTGCTAGGGTGCAGTGGCACATGGTAGATTAAGGACTCCTGTATGCTGCCTGGCACTCCCAGCCCTTGAATGTGTAAACATCGCTCTTGGTGCAGGAGGACATCCTCCTCAGATGTGTCCCTTGGCCTGAGAATTGGCAAGTACCCTTGTCCTACCCCTTGCCAGGGCTTGTGGTAGCCATCGACAGTTAATCAGTGACTCAGTCTGCACTGGGAGATTGTAGCAGCCCACCTGTACCTCTGTGTGTAGAGGCAGTGATTGCAGAGCCCTGTGGAGCTTGTCACCCATGTAGCCACCTTGTGCCTCATGCAGCAGCAAGCCCCTTCTGCATCATGCCTGGCCTCCCCTCACGGAGCTTGCAATTCCCTTGACCTGAGGCTAGCCATCCTTTGGACCCTGTCCTTCTCCCTCCCTGGCAGGGCTAGCACCATATCTGGGGCAGCAGGCAGGGTCCCACCTTCTTCTGGTTTAGGGCAACCTTGCCTCTACCTGCTTGCTTTGTTAGTATTTTGCTTTAAAAAGCTGTCAGCTGGTTGCAGGTACCCTTGGAACTACCTCTTCAGCTTCCCATCTTCAGAAAGTTTCTCTGTCTTCTCAGCACTGCCAATCATCCTAATTATCATCTCTGCATCCCACTGAATGTAGCTGAGTTAGTCTGGTCATCTCATAACGTGACATTCTTCTCGGTTTTTCCTTCAAGTGCTGCTTGTGCTCTGCCCTCTTATTTTCTAGTGCTGGGAAGCTGAAAGCTCATGGTGTCATGGTGCTGGGCTCTCCTGGGGCTGCAGACAGCAGAAACTCACCCTTGCTCCCTGTGGCCAGCTGGAAGGCCTCTGGGAGTTAAATGGGCTGAAGGTCCGAGAGCTTGGTGAAAGCTTGCTCTGTCCCTCCAGCAGAGCAAAGTGTTGGGCTGCAGAGTCGCAAGGCTGCACACCACGGTCTAATCTGCTCTCCTGTTCTCCCATGACCTTCAGCTAATCTCTTTTCCCCTCTCTCCGTTTCTTCCAGCGAGGGACTCAGCAGGTGCTACTCTGCTCTGAGGGAGGCCACGTGTCCCATCCTCTTTCCTTCAGCAGGGTCACGAGGGTCTTTGCTTGTTATCCTTCCCGTAGTATCATCTACCTCATCTCTGCCACTTGTCTGTCAGCTGCTGCTTCTCCAAGTTCTCGTCCATCTGATCCTCCTTGAGCCTGTAGTGGTTACAGGGAGACTGTGTTTTCATCTTTTTTTTTTTTTTTCCTTTGCTTCTAGCCTTCAGATCATCCATATTTCTTCTTGCACCTCCAAGGTCCTGGCCTACTGTTGTCATCTTGCAAGTGCTATTTAATTTAGGTCTCTGGACCGTTTTCTTGCCTCCTTTGCCAGCTGCCCTCTGCCTCCATTCATAGTGGGGGGGCTATTGTCTGCCTTGGATGCTTCTGCTGCAGGTTCTTCATTTAGATCCCTCCCCGCACCTGGAGTCAAGTGTTCTGGGATATTCACCTCTCTTGCTTTCCTGTCCTTTAGCCTGCGGTCATTCCCTTCTGTCTATCCCACTCCTGCTGGAAGGATTTCCAGGCAGGAGGCCCAGCTGAGGCTGTGGAGCAGGTTGGGCTGAGCGTGGCTCCCGGCAGCACAGCCACTGGGGCTCAACTGCGTTCCTCCTCTGGGGATTCCCTGCACTGAAGCACGAAGGGTGGGGAGAACTGGTGTAGCAGGATACAGCCCACCAGACTCCCAGCCTTCCTCTTCCCTGTGGCGAGTGAGGCCCTACGGATGGGAGCTGCTGCTGGCGCCACTCTGGAGCACCAGGGCTGCCGCCTCCTGGCCGCACTGGAGCCAGAGGGGCTGCAGCACTCTCTGATTCCCACCTCTTCTTCTCTGTCTATGCCCTGTGCTAAACAGACCTCATCTCTCCTCTGTAGCAGCTGCTGCCAGCTCCTCGCAGGGACTGCTGAATGACTCGGGTGCCCCTCAGAAGGTGCTGAGCGAGTAGCATCCATGGCCAAGCCCTTGGGGGCTGCCAGGCTCAGGGTGCCATCTGAGGAGGGCTTACTGCTACCTCTGCTCTCGTCTCACCTCTCTCCATCTCACCTGGGCGAACTTACCTGAATTAACCTCTGATCTTGTGGGTGCTCTTCATTCCTGACCAGGCTGCCTCCTTGCATCTTCTAACTTTCTTCCTCGCCTCCTGCTTGTCATTTTAGCGTAGCCTCCGCCCTGCACTCCGACAACCATGATCGCTACGAGCGCCTCACCTCCGTCTCCAGCTCGGTGGACTTCGACCAGAGGGACAACGTGAGTAGCAGCAAGAGTCAAACACTTTGCCTTTGAGTGGCCAGGAGCCCACAGCTTGTCTGAACTGAGGGTTCTTTGGAAGAAGCACTATTTGCTCATCCCCAGGCCTTAGGTCCCACACCTTGTAGTGTGTGAGTGTGGTATAGAGCTCAAGGCTCTATATAACTATGTTGCTTCTAGACATGCTTAATTAAGTAGGCTGTACCTCCCTGTGGCTTGACAAACATCTGTCCAACCTATCATCTCAGCATTACAAACAGTACTTGCCAGCTCCTCCTCACACTGCTGTCTACCTCTACTGCTGTTTTCCTCTCTAAAAGTGAGGCACAGTTTAGGAGGATAACAGGTGTAATGAATGGGTGGTGAAGCTCCCAGGAAATATTCCTCCCCTAAGTGTCCTCCAAGGAGCATAGGCTCGGCCTAGCCTGCCTTACCAGTCCCTGCAGAGCTCCTCTTGTCCAGGATGATTGCTGAAGTACCTGTATGGTTAATTTTCTGGGTGTCCTTAGGCTGTGGAGAGCTTCCATGCTAGCCAGGAGCCCACAGGTTGCCTGGGAGGTAGAGCTGCAAGTTGGTAGGGCCACACAGCCACACAGCAGAGTCCAGCCTGTGTTGTTCCCCATGGAGTAGCACTGTCATCTTCTCTGCCTTGGCCCGTCTGTGGCTCTGCACATATGTGTGCTCATGGTTTGTTTCCCCCTGAGCCAAGTCTGTGGAGGTGCAAGAACACCAGTCTGGTCCCCTGAGCCTTTGAAGGAGGGAGCAGGGATAAGGGAACAGAGAGTGATGTGAGACTTTCCTGTCTTCTTTCTGCACAGGGTTTCTGCTCCTGGCTGACAGCCATCTTCAGGATAAAGTAAGTGCCCCAGGACGTGCACATGGGGGACCCACATGGGGAAGAAGGAGAGGCAGTGCAGGGCATTGGGAGACCCAGCTCGATACAGCTGTGTGAAGTTGCTGCCCTTGCTGCCACTTCTCTGAAGGGCATGAGCAAAGGTGGGACTAGATGAGGAGTCCTAAAGCCACACAGTGAGCCTGTGACAGAGGAGAGCACCCAGCCCAGGTCTCCCCTGCCTCAGTCCTATCTTAAAACAATGTCTGCTGCTCTGCAGAGATGCTCCTCTCCCTGGGACTCCTGCTAGGAGCACTGCTGTCCGAGGAACGGCTGTGAAGTGGGGACCAGGGGATGCAGGGAGACACTCCCAGGCTGATGATGACTCCCAGGCTCAGGAGCAGTCTTAGCTTTAGAGCCATGTGAGATGGTCTCAGCCATCCCTTATCTCAGCGGGGTTGGCAAGGCCCACCAGAAGGGTGTGAGGTGGGGTTTGTGTGTGTCCAGCTGCCTGTCCTGGGGGGCAGAGGACAAGGGAATGGGGAGTGGGGCTGCAGTAAGCATTGCACGAGCAGGTCCAAGGCTGGATGCTGGGCTCCCTATCTCAGGGCTTCACCACAGCTCTGTAGGGCAGAACCAGGGGTGCTCTGTGGGCTCAAATCAGGAGGACAACCATGACCCTGTACTCCTCTTCAGCAATTGAGGGAATATAGAAGATTGCCTGATGGCCTTTCTCTCCCTGACAGGGATGACGAGATCCGGGACAAGTGTGGGGGTGATGCGGTGCACTACCTGTCCTTCCAGAGGCACATCATCGGGCTGCTGGTGGCTGTGGGTGTGCTCTCCGTGGGCATTGTGTTACCTGTCAACTTCTCAGGGGACCTGCTAGGTGAGAGCAGGGTGCCTTTGGCTGAGCTGGGGGGGCTGCTTTCAACACTGTGTCCCAGACCAGTGGGGAGAGGTGGAGGGCGGGACAGAACTAACACAGACAAATCCTGACTGCTGTCCCACTTTGAGCATGGTGCATCCAGAGGGTCATCTTGGGCAGCTTGGGTTTTGGGGTGTTGTGCAGGTGAGATTCCTGCTCTAGTCCAACCCAGTGGTGCCCTGTGCTGCTCGATGTAACTGAGTGTGCTTGTGTCTGCCTCTTTCTCTCTAGAAAACAACGCCTACAGCTTTGGGAGGACAACTATTGCTAACCTGAATTCTGGGTATGTGTGGGCATGGGTGGGATGAATAATTGAGGCCCTCAAGGGGGTATTTTGTAAATATCCACTTGCTGCAGAACCTCACCTCCTTGAAAGTTTTTTGCCCTCACTGTGAGCCTGCTGTCCCTGCTCCAATTTCCAGGCTGAGCTCCTGGAAGTTGGTTGTAGGACATGTGGGTGCTGTGCTGGTTACGCTGCTCGTGGCTCCAGTGCCTTCGGGGCCTGACCAGCCATACACAGACTTGCAGTGGCAACCTTGCATTGACCTTTGTGGTCTTCCTTGTGACAGGAATAACCTGCTGTGGCTGCACACATCTTTTGCCTTCCTGTACCTGCTGCTGACAGTGTACAGCATGCGCCGGCACACCTCCAAGATGCGCTACAAAGAGGATGACTTGGTGAGCAGGATCTGGCCGCTCTCCCAGGCACATTTTTCCATGCCCTTCTGTCAAGTCAGGTGGCCTTGGAGAGAGTGCCGAGCACCACACGTTCCACAGCAATTTGGGGGTGTCTTGTTTTGGCTGTTCTTCTGTGCTGCATGACCAAAGGGCAGATCTCTTCCAGAGCAGCTGCCCTGTGGGGAAACAGGAGAGGCCTGCACTGGGTGAACATGTGGGGGGCACCCTATGCCTTCCTCAGGGGTTGCTCCAGCTGCTTTTGCTGCCTTCGTTTCTTAGGGGTTCCCCCATGTTTCTGTTCAGGTTGCTGCAGGGTAAGCCCCTAGTCTGTCAATCTGCAGCACACCAGGATGCAGGATGCCAACAGCTGGTTTAAGAGGAAAGGGGGAGCCCTGCTTGCCAGAAGCGATGGAGCTGCCCTTTCCCATCGCTGACTCAGGCCTTGGGGGGGATTGCTGCAATCCAGTCTTTCATGCCATCTACACCTACCTGCCTCCTCTACTTTTTTCTTCCTTTTTTCTAGGTTAAGCGAACTCTCTTTATTAATGGGATCTCAAAATATGCTGAGCCAGAGAAGATCAAGAAGCATTTTGAGTGAGTCTCACTGTGACCCTAATTAAAGTCTGCTCTGTAACGGGGATGTTTTTATTGGGATAGTGCTAGTGTTCCCTGGAATGGCAATAATAAATTGAGAGCAGAAACACTCTTATTTTGGGCATCTTACTTACTCTTCTGCACAAATTTTTATCTGAATGTGCAGGGTGCTTGGTTTTGTGACTTGGGGTGTACTCAGCTATCTCTTGCAGAACCATAGGGGGTCGGAGTGGTAGGTAATGGGCAGGGCATGTCCTAGGATGTAGTCGAGTTCAGAGATGAGATGCAGGCAGGAAGCAGTGATTCTGAGATGTGTGATATGGGCTTCTGTCCTGATCACAGTCCTTGTAGAAAAGGACTTTTTAACAAAAAAAATACTGTTCCTTAGGGACCTTAATGAATGCATGGTAAGAGCTGTGTTTAGAAGCACCATGGGAAGAAGAGAAATCCTTTGTACCTTTGGGGAACCTTTCTGCCCTCAAGTCCTGTGGCCCATGAAAGCAGAGAGAGGTGTGTGGGTCAGAGGAGTGCCTTGTGTCACAGGGCAAAAGTCCAAAGAGGTGTCTCGTGCTAGAGCCTGGAGGATGTAGCATTTGCCTCATATGTTACTTCTGCTGTGAGGGACAGAGCCTGCAGGCTCCCCTGCTACCCCCAGCAAGCTCTTGCTGTGCATCTTGGTGCTCAGCCCAGGGCAGGGGAGAAGGCTTGGACACATGGGGCTTGCTTGAGGTTACAGCCTTTGGCATCAGGTGTGATGAGCTGGTGCTTCCTGTCCACAGGGAGGCCTACGCCAACTGCACTGTCCTGGAGGCCCGTCTCTGCTATGATGTGGCCCGGCTGATGTTCCTCGATGCGGAGAGGTAACCCCTGGTTTGGGAGAGAAGGCAGGGTGGACCAGTGCCATGGGCTCCCCAAGTCCAGTGCCATAGGAGCTTTTCTGAGCCACTCTCTCTCTTTCCTTCTCTTCCGCTCTCCTGTTTCAGGAAGAAAGCCGAGCGCGGGCGCATCTACTTCACCAATCTGCAGAGCAAGGACAACACCCCATCCATGATCAACCCCAAGCCCTGTGGCCACCTGTGCTGCTGTGTCATCAGGGGCTGCGAGGAGGTAGGGGGAGAGCTGGAAGTGTTGGGTGGTGGGGCATGGTGGGGTTTGGCTGCCCAGGTCTCTGCTCTGACCCCTGTCCCCCTGCCCAGGTGGAGGCCATTGAGTACTATACCAAGCTGGAGGAAAAGCTCAAAGATGACTACAAGCGGGAGAAGGAGAAGGTGAATGAAAAGCCTCTGGGGATGGCCTTTGTCACTTTCCACAATGAGACCATCACAGCCATGTGAGTACAAAGGGTCCTGTCCTCCACAGGAAGGTGACCTGTCCCAGCTCTCCCCTTAAATCAGAGGAATGCCAACACCAAGGCATACCCCTCAGCTTGTCACTGCCAGCTCTCCGTGTTAGCATCTCTCTCCTTCTCTTCTCCAGAATCCTTAAAGATTTCAACGCTTGTAAGTGCCAGGGCTGTGCATGCCGTGGGGAGCCCAGGGCCTCCTCCTGCAGCGAGTCCCTCCATGTCTCCAACTGGACTGTCAGCTATGCCCCTGACCCACAGAACATCTACTGGTAAGCATCTCTGTGGGGCTCAGTGGGCCCTGCCAATGGGAAAAGGGGTGCACGCTCCCTGTCTGTACCTCTGGTAACTGAATGTAGTGTTCTTGCTGAAGCACAGCCTGGTTGAGATAGATCTCTGATCTGACTTGGCAGGGGAAGGTCTTGGGCTGGTGCCCCAAGTGCTGTTCACACAGGCTGGGTGATGGTGTACACGAGGCTCCAGACCTGCCCTCCTACCCCAAGCAGCCATCCTGATGCTTTCCTTCCTTCCCTCTCAGGGAACACCTTTCCATACGGGGCTTCATCTGGTGGATCCGCTGCCTTGTGATCAATGTGGTCCTCTTCATTCTCCTCTTCTTCCTCACCACCCCTGCTATCATCATCACCACTATGGACAAGTTCAATGTCACCAAGCCTGTGGAGTACCTCAATGTAAGGCCTTTGGAGACGGGTGCAGGATGGGTAGCACAGGAACCACTCTGAGGCACAACAGCCCTTGTAAGGGAGAGATGTTCTCAGTGGTTCCCAGGTCCTGTCAGCCTGACCACGAGGGAGGTGCTGAGCCTGGCCAGGGTGCAGTGGCAGCCACGGTGCTGGGGACTCGATGTCAGCAAAGGAAACTGTAGCTGGGACTGGCACAAGAGCCACCGCACTGTGTAACACATGGTCTCCTCTCTCTGCCTCATTGCAGAATCCCATCATTACCCAGTTCTTCCCCACCCTGCTGCTGTGGTGCTTCTCTGCTCTTCTGCCCACCATCGTGTATTACTCTGCCTTCTTTGAAGCGCACTGGACCAGGTAAGGACAGCCAGTGCCTGTTCTCAGTCACACCAGGGTGCTGCCTGACCATTAGACACTTCTCACTGGTGTAAAGCTCCTGGCTCGATCCTTCTGCTTCAACTTGTCTTTCACTCCAAGTGTGGTGTTACGTTGCACCTCTTGGACACCCGGGGTCTGCTCTGGACAGCTGTTCTGCCAGTCCTTGGCTGTTGTTGTGCAGTGTGGTTGTCTGAGCAGAGCTTGATGTAGCTCTACAAGAAGAAGAAAGCTGGGAGGAGATGGGGGTGGTCACTGTGAGAAATGCAAGTAGCGAGGGAAATCTTGGCTTGGGTGAGCGGGCAGGGGTATGCCTGTACCCATGTGTAAGTCATGGCTTCTTCAAGTCAAAATCGCCTTCCCCATGGCCAGGAGCCATAGCAGCTATTTGAGGTGCAGAGCACTAGAAATGTGCTGTTTATGGGGCACGTTCCCCACTGGATGTGCAATGTAAGCTTTGTTTTCTGCTCTGTGTTGTGAAGACTGGTGGAAAGAATGTCACCAGCCCTGGGGATTGCAGGACAAGAGAGGTGATTGCAGAGAGTCCTCTGAAGATATGAGGGCTGGGAGGGCCTGTGAGACAAGGGGGAAGGAACTGGGACTTGAGAATAGACCTCAGACACCAGAAGTGGACAAGGTGGGATTCATACTAGACACTAGAAAGTGCTTCCTGGTGAGAGAGCAATGGGGGAACTGTATCTGGGGCTGGCAGAGTGACAGTGAAAGGTTAACAGCCTCCTCTCTACCCTCAGGTCTGGAGAGAACAGGACAACAATGCACAAGTGTTACACCTTCCTCATCTTCATGGTCTTGCTGCTGCCATCGCTGGGCCTGAGCAGGTAGGGGTGGTGGGAAGGGAAAGCAAGTGCAGAGACCTGGAGCACAGGGAGGGTTGAGATGCACCCCTGGTTGTTCTACACTACATCCTTTCCCCGCTGCACGAGTGTCCTGCCACCATCCCCTTGGGAAGGTGGTGTTTCGTTCTGTCTGGGGGCCCAGGCCGGACCATATCTGGCTGGGTCTCTAGGAACTTACTGGGTCAATCTGAAGATGTGTTGATGTGTACCATGGTGATACAGATAATGCAGCAAAAATTGGCATGGTTGATGGACACATGTGAAAACGTCTGCTGGTGAAGGAATGTCCTGGTTTTGGCTGGGATAGAGTTAATTTTCTTCCTAGTAGGCAGTGCAGTGCTGTGTTTTGGATGTGGCATGAGAATAGTGTTGAGTGAGTGGCTGTGTGGTGCTTAGTTGCCAACTGGGGTTAAAGCACAACAAGGAGGTACTCCCCACCTCTGCGCTCAGCGTGCACTCCAAATTTTGCAAAAAGTAGTGAATTTGAGACAACTGAGTATGCTGTACTGCATAGCTGGGTAGCAGAGTTCTGTGCAGGCTGCAGCAAACCTCACCTGTTTGGATGTGAGCCCCAAATCTTCCTGCAGGGGTTATAGAAATGCTCTGTGGCAAACAGCAGTGCATCAGCTGCTGGCCATTGGCATGCACTCCCAGCACTGACCAGTGGTTGAGGAGGGAAATGGAGAGGAAATTAAAATTGGGGAGTGGGATGGGGGTCCTCACTGTGGTAGGGAGTTACTTACACATTGTAGGGTGGGAGATCTACACGCTCCTAAATTCAGGATTAGGAATACAGCCTCTCAGTTGTAAAGTCAGGCAGCTTCTGAGAATAGACAAACCCTCTGATAGAGGCAGAAGAATGGTCCTCCATCCCAGTAGTTGACTACAGCAACATTTTTCAGCTGAATTAAAAATGCCTTGTTGCATATAACCTTATGACCTAGGCAGATAAATGCTCTTGGAAGGTTTGCATATTGACTAAATACCATTAAACAGACCATGTTTCTTTCTGAAGACTCAGTCTCCCTGCTGTTGCCTCTGGCGCTCTGTACTCCACCAGTACCTGAGGTGCCAGAGGATTGGGCGGTTTTATATCAAAAAATCAGAATTGAGGAAAGTGGGATTTGTTTCTCTTAAAGGATTATATTATTTTTTTTAAACCTCTGTATTGGAGGGTGCCTTGTACCTGACTGGTTTCTTCTCTACGGTCAGTTTCCTGTTCCTTACATGGATGTTGTGCCCAAACAGAGGGAAAAGGAAAATACTGATAGGATCAGGGTAAAGGGAGGAGAACACACGTGAGTGAGAAGATTTACATCCCTTTTTGGGTGCTGCACTTTTTTTCCCAGTGTCTGATTTACATAATTGCTGGTGACACATCCAAAGAAGGAACAGAACAGTCTATGGTCAGACCTTTGAGTCCTTCTAGAGCAGCTTCCACATATTTACATACACATGTCTGTCTATTGCTGTTTCTGACTGTTCCCATTTTCTTCTTGCCCCCTTTCTCTACAGCTTGGATGTGTTTTTCCGCTGGTTGTTTGACAAAAAATTCCTTGCCGAAGCCGCCGTGCGATTTGAGTAAGTGGATTTGGGACAGAAGTTCCTTCTTTGCAAGGTGGGGAGGTTCTTGTTGGTGTCCAAAGGTAGGGGGGACTTCCGGCTGCCGCCCTGCAAGGGGGAGCATCTCTTGCAGCCTGCTCTTGCTGTGCCTCCCCAGGTGTGTGTTCCTGCCGGACAATGGCGCCTTCTTCGTCAACTATGTCATCGCCTCTGCCTTCATCGGGAATGCCATGGACCTGCTGCGCATCCCTGGCTTGCTCATGTACATGATCCGCCTCTGCCTGGCCCGCTCGGCCGCCGAGCGGAGGAACGTCAAACGAGTATGTGGTGGGGCTGAGGGGGGGGGG